GCATTATCCAGCCCTATGTTATTATGCAACAAGTAGACAAACTGGTCTTTTTCTGAGTGTCTGATAGGTACATAATATGTGCTTGTTTTTTTATTATAGCTTTGGACACATGATGAGCAAAGAGAAGAGGGAGAGTATTTCTAAAGAGGACTTGGCCCGAGCCACGCTCGTCACAATTACAAACAACATTGGCTCCATCGCACGCATGTGTGCAGTTAATGAGGTGTGTGTGTGTATGTGTGTGTGTGCATCTGCGTGCAGTCACCAGCAGCTGTGAGCATCTGTCTGGCCACTCTGGGCTTCTCTACAGTGTTGCCTTGTAGCCTGGTGATCAAGCAGCATTGTACAGGGCTTTCAGGGTGTACAGAACATCATCAGAGTAGAAACTCCCAACAATATGCAGAGAATACATGGTATCACATTAGCTACTATCTATGACTAGATGATGGTGGCAAATGATTTCAATTTGACCAAAAACACCAATTTGAGCACCTCCTATAAAAAGTCCATAAAAGGAATTGCTTGTGCTGGGACTCCACCTGCTGGTGCTGCAGGAAACAAACTAATTTAAACAGATTCATGAAATGTACGCCTGCAGCAAGAATGTAACACTCAGCACTAGTTTTAACTAATTAAATAGTGTTTAAATCTGTTCTGTAGATTTTCTTCCAAAATGAGTGTGGAAATGTGAAAAACATCCAGGAATTCTGTCTGGGCTTGGTCATGCTGAGTGATGTTTTTGTTTTGTCCTGTAGAAAATCGAACGGGTTGTTTTTGTGGGGAACTTTCTGCGTATAAACACTGTGTCGACAAAGCTTCTTGCCTATGCTATGGACTTCTGGTCCAAGGGCCAGCTGAGGGCCCTTTTTCTGGAACATGAGGTAATTCTCTCTGTTTTAATCATTTATTTTTAATCTGTTGCATTTATTTTCACTCAAAATAAAATGCACTATATTTAAAAAGATTGAGGTCTGTAAAATTTGTTAATGTTTTTCATTCAAAACATCCCACAACGTCTCTCATGCTCACCTAGGCTGCATTTATTTCATCAATAATACAGTGAAAACCGTAATATCATGAAATACTATTAAAATGTAAAATAACTTTTCTATTTGAATGGATTTTAAAATGTAATTTATTTGTGTGATGGCAAAGCTGAATTTTCAGTAGTCATTACTCCACTTGCCAGTATCATTCTAATATGCCGATATAGAAATATTTTTCATTATTATTAATGATTAATAAAAGAATACTGGACCCAAACTTTTGAAGTAGTGTATAATAGTGAAAATTCTCAGAATCATTTATCTTATATAGTGGTAGTACATGTGTGTTTATATGTACACTTAAATGTGTGTTTCAGGGATACTTTGGCGCTGTCGGTGCTTTTCTAGAACTGCTGAAGTCGTCTGATGATGCATAAAAGAAAGAAATCATCATCTCTGATCCAGAAAGTACTTTAAGACTTCCACACAGAAGCTCCAACAGGAAAACTGGAATACTGGGAACACTGGGAAATTTAAATGAAGCCAATATACTAATTAACTTGTAAATAACCCTTAAAATAAGATTCTAAACAATATTTTTATGAGTAACTTAGTCTCCCTCAGACTGCCGGCTGTAACGTATCCTTATTGCTAATTTGTTTTCTGGTTGTTTTTGTTTTCATTTTGTAATGTTTGTAAATATCATTGTGAGAGTTTATTGATGGCCAAAACCTGCTCCGTTAAAGTTTTGCTATTCTTGTCATGCCCACCAGGTGGTTTCTGTTTTAGGTCTGGTTAAATGATGGACCTTTTAAGAGTTTTTTTGTGTTAAACTGCTGTTCAAACCCAAAATGATGTTTGACACACAATTCTAGTTCATTTTTAAGCCTCAGGTGCTATGTTAGATGTGTGCCGACTGACAGGGATCCTCGTAGTAAGGAAAAGACTCCGGTCTCTATACAGCATAGAGCAACCTTTTTCCGGTTGCCTCTCCTTTCACTCTTCCTCTTCACTACAGTTAAGACTTCTCCATGCGTTTATGCATGAAAGTAATTTTAAAGGGGAATCTGTTCACTCTTAGAATTATATCAGAATAGTTGAACTTTTTAAAGATATATTTACGCTGATTCACATGAAGCCTTTACTTATAAAAGAATACATAGAAAGCTCAGGGTGTCACTTTTATTTTTGAGAGGGAATTCTGTGGGACCAAGTGGCCAATTTGACAGACACTTCAGATAGAAAGCTCCCCTAACATCCCACATTTTTTGTCCTCTTTGTCCAGCTTTGCCTTTTTTTCATCCTGCCTTTTCCCATACTTTTTCCTATCTAAACCAAAGCTACTTCTGTCATCTTTTTCTGGATGCACACAGTTATATGCATATACCTCCTCTTTGGTTGCCTTCCTCTTATCTAGAATGGTACTAAGAGTACTTGAAGTAGCCGTGCGATGACAAAACAGAAAGATTAAGTCACTAAGACAGCAGTTACCCACAACCCCCGTTGCTTAGTATTCAAATATCAAACATGTTTAGACAGTTCTAAGACTCAGCCATTGTGTTTCCATTGTAGTGCCAAAGTGAGACTGGGAGGAGTCAAACCAGACAGCCTGCCAATGCAAGCATTCCTGCTTTGCCAGGCCATGTACCACATTACTTCTCCTAAAAGTTGCCTAGCATTAGAGTATTTCTAAGATCATTCGAAGTCCAATATCATATGTCATTGAAAATATAAACACCACTCCCTTACTAGTTAACTCTGTTGTTCTATTCTCCTTGCTGTCTTTCTTGCCTTCTTTGTGATTGATCCGTTCTTTTAACCTCTTTGGCTGTTTTTAGGTTGTGTTTTCATTTGATTTGATTTTTTTTAAAACTTTTATTACATTTTTGTTATTTCTGTTATTTTAACTGAGATTTCCTGGGTAACTTAAACTTCAAATCTGAATTAGATTTTGGGGACCTCACATGTCAACTGCAATATTTTTCTTTTTCCAGAAAAAATATAATTTTTTTATTTCAATTTGGGGTTTTTTGTTTGTTTGTTTTCATAAAATCAAACAATTAAAAATTTGTTTGGTTAAAAATGTTGTATACCTTTATAATATTTAATTATGGCTTTGGTTGGCCTTGAATATTTTGAATTAAATTATTTAACAGCATATTTTGGGTACAAAATTTGATGGTCATTGTGTGATTTGATTAAAATTTTGTTAATGTTATTATTATTTTTGTTATTACTGGATTTTTTAATGAAAATTATCCAGTTTTAAACCCCTCATTCTAGATTAGGATGCTCTTTTTGTTTGTATACCAAACAGTGTATCAATATGAGAGTTGTATACTGTATGGATGATTAACATTGATAGGGATTGTACATTTATGTTAGTTAGATGCAAGTATGAGCATGTTTTTTTTTAAGTGTTCAAGCCTGTGTAATTGCACTGCACAATTCTATGCTATACTTAAAGCTGTCATTCATTGTGCATTAGACTTGAATCCACAAAAAACAGCTTCATGTTTTGCAAACATTGGTAAGGTTTGAAGTAACTTTTGTTGTCATACCAGTAAGCAACAAAACCAGCTGCCAGTTACAACAATTTTGTTTGGTAAAGAAACAACGCACAGACCTTAAAGTTTAAAAGCTGTATTAGTCTATATCATAGACTGTTTTACTAATACAAATCCTTCGAGAGCATTTTAATGCATATGCTTCTCTTCCTCTGAAAGGTGACCTTTCACTCCTGACTTTACTTGCTATGCAGTAAAGTCTGAATGTTGTTGGCTAAAAGCAGCTTGGTTAAGAGAGAGTTAGAAACTAGCTGCTTGCGTCCTGTCTGCCTTTTTTTGTCAATAACACTGTTATAAAGAGAGAAAAGGGGCTTTTGAAACATTATTGTTCTTTTTCTGTATCTGGGTGTTTTCTTTTAATTCCTACTGACATTTTTAAACAAATTATCCTTTGAGTTGCTGGTTTGATGCTACTTTAATGGATACTTTCTGCTGTTATATTCGATTGTACAAACACGTAAATATTCCCGTCTTTGTTTTTCACCTCTCAGATGTCATTAAAGCCACACTGTGTTGAAATTTGTGGCTTCAAGAAAAGATGAGAGATTTGATGTCTGTGTGATTCACTGGGTTTAATTGGATGCTATTATGCAAGAACATTTTAAAGAATAATAAAGTTTAAATTTTATTATTTACGATTTTGTGTTTTATTATTTTACGATTTTGTCTTAACACGTTGATAATGCAAATGTAGGGTAGGCTACTTACTAAACTGAACATGAGAAAGGGAACGAGGACAAAAATGTTAGGTACAATTGAACCATTCATTACCTCCTAAAAACTTACTAGATAAATGCTGTTCAAAAGCAAATGAGTGGCTCACCTTGCCCCCTAGGGTAATATGCATAGGCAAACCGCTGTTCTCCTGTTATCTCCTGACTGGCCCCCTTAAAGCTATAGCTTGAACCCTAAGAAATCAAAACAAACGGTGGGGGTGGGGTCTTAAAAGTACATATTCTTTTTACATATCAATATATGTCTCGGTTTTGAATTTTCAAACACTTAAGTAATCACAAAAGTTAGTTTACAAGACATTTTGGGCTTGTATTTTTTCCGACGATAAACAGTCGCGGACACAGGCTAAATTATTTTGCTGAGGAGTAGGCTAGGCTACAGTAGTACTTTTTAGGGTCATCATCGGACAAAACTAAAACTATTATTGATTTAGATAGGTTTTACATTTTAAATATACCTTAAGGAACTTTAGTGTAGATATCAAATGATTTTTAAGTTGACAGCTAAATGTAGGCTACTGAGTTTGACCAAAAGAGAGCTTGAGTTGCTCGAGACGAACCTCAACAGACTGTGTCCTGAAAACGTCCTATTGAAATTCTATTAAAACAGTCGACCCCCCTGAAAGTCATTGTATAATATGCACACAGGGTGGCGTGAGAGAGAGGGAAAACATGGCATTTATCCGACCCGGGACTGCAGTTAACGGTAGTTTAAACCTCAGACATGAAAGCAAGTAAGAGGTCCCCTGTACTTCCACCCGTTGGCTGGTTGTTTTCCGCCCTGTTGTTCTGTCCAAGCGCGCACGCCGCGCAGTGATGCAGAGCCATGTGCGCCAATGTGTTCCACCACACTTTGGAGGAGAGCAGCGGTTGTTTTTGTTCCTCGTCTGCTCTAGATTCTGTACACTGGGAAGTGTGTTTCAGAGTAAGTTCGTTTCTCTTTGACCTCTTCAAACGTTCAGTCATGTATTTAGTTTCTTTGTATGTTGTTGAGAATACTCCCCAAGGGATTGTACACAACTGTTATGAATCTTTTCATCTGCTAATTCATAATTATTTGTATAGCTAATGTTTTTTAAAGACAGCACATTTTATGCTTGTACCTGTATTGATCCAGAAAGATTATTTTTACATTCACTCTTCTGACCTCTCCTGCTTCCAACTATTCAATGATCATTCAACTATTCAGCTGGTTGCAATTATTCAATACTCCATGTCTGTTTTTTGCTCTATGTTTATGAAGTGTTTATCACTTACAGGATATGCATAGTACGTTCCTTTGGTTATTGATATATATCAGCTTTTCTTGTTATTTTCACTGTTGACAACAGTTGTGCTGCTTATTTTTGCGGAAACAGTGATACATTTTTTCTGGTGAATAGAAAGTTAAAAAGAACTGCATTTATTTGAAATAGAAGTCTTTTGTAACACTGTAATGTCTTTACTGCCACTTTTGATCAATTTAGTGCTGAATAAAAGCATTAATTGCTTAAAAATGCATTTAAAAAAACATCTTACTGACCCAAACATTTGAACAGTAGTCTATTTCAAATGTTTGGGTTAGTAAGATGTTTTTTTAATGACTATCTCTCATTTTTCAAGTTTCAGAAGATGTACCTTCAGACTGTTGAGTCTTTAATTTGAAGACCGAGTCATCGCATAAATTCTGACTGTGGTTTAACGGACATAGATTGAGGTGAGTCTATACCAATCAAGCCCAGCACAAAGTTGTTTTTTCCATGTCTTTGTTCCATGTCTGATGATTTTTGCAATAAAGTAACTACTTTTGCCCCATGAATTAGTTTTTGGCCCTCTCTCTTGGAATTGATGAAGACACACTGTGTTCCTTGCCTCCCTTTGGACCAGACTAGTGTGTGTGTAGTAACTTGGTCACACTCTGTATCATGGAGTGTTTATGTGGCAGACTCAGACAGGCTCTAATTTCTTTATTTTGCTCTTACTCACTAACCATAGCATTCACACGTTCATGAGGGTGAGCAAATGATGACAAGAATGTTAATTTTCTGGCTGAACTATCCCTTTTATCTCAGAGACATAAGTGATACATTTTTAGTATTTAATCAAAAGCACCACAGTGTAATTTGAGGTAAGTTCACAATAAAAATTGAGATTTTTTTCACACAGACTGATTTAGATTGCACATACATTTTGAGAAGAAGGCTAAAGTTTAAAAAAAAAAATTCTGTTTCTCCTGCAGATTTTGCTTGATGGCATTTAGAAGCTCCTTATATATGAAAGCAAGAGAAAAACAGCAAGTAAATTTGTCCCAAACAGAGCCAGAGAGAGCAAAACCAGCTGAAACTGGACAGAAGAGGAAACAAGAGGCTGAAAGGAGTGAGAGAGTGAGGGAGAGGATGAAGAGAGGAAGCATCTTGTCCAGCAGAAGTCTAGAGATGAGTGAAAAAACTCCACATTCAGCGGCCGCTCCTGATGGCGGATGGGGCTGGATGATCGTAGCCGGATGTTTCCTCACCACTGTTTGCACACGTGCAGTCACTAGGTTAGTTCATGACTCCCCCAGGATCAGTTTTTTTTTTTTACCTTACCTCACCAAGAATTAAGGTGATACCCTCATGTCACTTCATTTTTTGCAAGTTTAATGTGAGCCTAAATTCAACTAAAAGCTGCAGAAATGGCCTTTAAACTCAACCAAGATTCTTATGTTCTCTTATGTTTTTAAATTCTGAGCCACTAGCCAAGACTGAATTACTCATGTCTTTTAATATTAAATCATTAAATAAGCAGAATAACTACCCCAGGAGTAATACCCAGTTTTAGATGTTGTGCTTAAAAGGAATAAAATGAATGTTGCTCTAAGCACCAGAAGACCTTTATCATATTGCTTTCTCAAATCTGCACTTTCTCATGCTGGTTGCAGGTGTGTTTCCATCTTTTTTGTGGAATTCCAGTCATACTTTTCCAGAGATTATTCTGCAACTGCATGGATACACTCTCTGCTGGACTGCACCACAATGTTGTGTGGTAAGACTAATGCCAAAATAAAAAAAAATTCCCCAATGTTCTCTCTATAGAAAAACTCTCTGACTCAAAGGTGGCAGCTCAAACTGTATAAAACTATATTGATTTTAGGAGAACTTTGTTTTAAAAAAAAAAGTCTCTGTTGACAGGTTTACAGTGCATAGTCCATTCTAAACCAGATTTATCTTGCTGCTGGTGAGAAAGAATGTTCACAGAAACACATTTTCATATTTATGTAAGGGCCTTGGTTATATCTTGTGGTATCTGTTTTTCACAATTCTTTTACTTAGTTTAAGCAGTTAGATATCATGGTATTTGTCAAATGTTTGAGATTACAAACACATATCAATACATATTTATTGATAAATATAAAGATAAACATATTCTTAAAAGCACTGTAGAGGTTAATAAAAAACATGCAGATGTCACCTTAATGAGCAAGCTTTTCCAATGTAATTTAATAAATGTCTTGTTGACATCTGTTGAAACACATTTTTAGGCTGTTTTTTTTTTTTTTTTTTTGAATAAATTGTTTTAGAAGGCAGTGTCATAAATAATATTCTTTTATTTATTGGTATAGGTTGATATTGTATATTTATCAGTTAATATTCAATATTTATCTTGCTATCCACCGCTTTCTCTTCATTCTTTTTCTCATTCTCTTTATAGCGCCACTGGGTAGTTATATAGGGAACCGCCTCTCTTCTCGTATAGCTATCATGTTTGGTGGGCTTCTTTCCGCTGCCGGCCTGCTGCTCAGCTCACTGGCCACCAGTGTGGAGTTCCTGTATCTCACACTGGGTGTTCTTACAGGTTTGATTCAGATTTGCACACATACACCAGCATACAAGCTTTTATTTCAACTGCACTGATAATCATAATTTGGGGACGCTATTGTAGTCACCTTGCCCTGCAATTATTATATCAATTTGCAACAAACTAGGCAGGCATATCCGTAGTCTTTTATACTAACCTCCCTGATTCTCTGCACAGGTGTGGGATTTGCTCTCAGCTACACTCCTGCAATTGCCATGGTGGGTTCTTACTTCAGCGAGAGAAAAGCGCTGGCTTACGGGATCGCCATGTCAGGCAGCGGCATCGGAACCTTCATACTAGCACCCGCTGTCCAACTCCTCATTGAGCTCTTCTCCTGGAGGGGTGCGCTGCTCATTCTGGGGGGTTTGGTGTCCCACCTGTGTGTCTGTGGAGCACTTATGAGGCCTTTGGAAGGTCAAAGCGGGAGACGGAAAGAGAAGGACTTGGAGGGTGGCAAAAAGGTTGATTTCCTAAATGTGAAACTTGCTGATGCAGGGCACAATATGGAAGTGAGTGCACAGGAACAGAGATCGGTGGAGGTAAAACATACGGATATGGAAAAGAGTGGGGAAAATGAACATGCTGAGAATATGCAGAGCGATGGAAAAGAACGGATGGAGTCGGAGCCTTCTGATGCAAAGCAAACACACTCCAATGTGGAAATAAACCTTAGACAGGAGGACTCAGAGACTGTGACCAGAAGCACAGATGAATGGGACAAAGAATCAAAGCCAAAGTACTCAGATACAGACATCTCAGTCCCAGCTTTAGTACAATCAGGTGACTTGCCTTTGGACTGTTTGCCAACCAACCAAGAGGACACAACTTTCCCAGAATCAAACACTAACCACAATACTTTGGCACAGTTAAAAGTGGCAAACACAAAATTACTGAAGCAGTCCAGGGACAATGTATGGTCTATCATAAGGAAAACAGTATTGAGAGAATATTCCTTCCTGCTGATACCAGACTTCTTATTGCTGTTGGTGTCCTTCCTGTTCCTTGCATATGGTTGCAGTGTGCCATTTGTGTATCTTGTGCCATATTCCCTGAGTGCAGGTGTCAGCCCTCAGCAGGCAGCATTACTCATGTCTATACTTGGAGTGTCAGGGATTGTCGGTACTATCACTTTTGGATGGATTGCAGATAGAAAGTAAGAGTTTGTTGTGATTTTTTTTTTCTAACTTTCCCATATATTGCAATATTATAGACATTTAAAGGGATAGTTCCCCCCAAAATGAAAATTCTGTCTTTAATTACCAGTGGTGGCTCGTGGGTTTTAAAATAGAGGAGGCACACTAATTGTATTGGTCTGGGATCCCTGCCGATTATTATTATTATTATTTGCTTAACCACTTTAAAATGGCTTTTTGGTTGCTTTTAGTCAGAAAATGTAAAGAAAACGACATACATACAGCAAGATAATATAATTTCACTTACCTGGCCTATCACTTGAAGCAAACATCCATCCCTTCTTAAAAGTCTGTGTTAAAAGAGAGCTGCCTGTTGCGCCATTTAATTAAGCCGACTGCTGTAGCCTATATCCAGTTTAGGCTGGTTTTCCTAAATGTGTATATATACTGTTTGAATGACAGCTTGGTAAATCTGTTGGCAATCAAATATTCAATATCGCTACTCATAAGTACATTATCAGCGCAGCGGCAGACGTTCAAACTAATATCACGTAATTTACGTCTCTTTGATGATTGGTTGATATCAGAATTGGAGGCTAGCCTCCCTTGCTAGGTTTCTTTTCTCAACACTCCTCAGCGCTGGAAGTGAACACTCAATGCTGATTGGTTAATGTTTTTTACCAACGGAGGCACGTTTATCCTCTCCCCCGGCCTCCCCCTCCCCCTCCCCTTCTCTATCATTAGCGGTTGTAATTACATCAGCAGATTCGGCACATTCCTGATAGAAAAGCGGCGCTTTCACATTATGGTATTACAACTGTGAAATTACAAACAAAAAATACACATTCTGAGACATGAACTGAAATGAATTGTGAATTTTATTAACATTAAATCGTCCTCCTCCCATTTTCACCTCAAAATTATGGGGAAGCTGTGCCTCCCCCGACGAGCCGCCACTGTTAATTACTCACCCTCATGTTGTTCCAAACTGTAAGACCTTTGTTTATCTGTGGAGCACAAATTAAGATATTTTTGATGAAATCTGAGAGCTTTCTGACCCTGCATAGACAGCAATGCAACTGAAATGTTCCCAGACCCAGAAACGTAGTAAGGACATCGTTAAAATAGTCCATGTGACACCAGTGGTTCAACTGTAATTTTACCAAGCTATGAGAATACTTTTTGTGTGCAAAGAAATCAAAAACAATGAAAATATCTTAATTTGTGTTCCGAAGATTTGGAACGACATGAGGGTGAATAATTAATGACAGAATTTTCATTTTTGGGTGAACTATTCCTTTAAGAGCGACATCTACACTAGACGCCTGTTAACTTTATAAAACCTGTGGAGGTAGGCATAAAAAATGTGATATTGTAATCTGTTTTTAAATTCATATTCATGTCTTCTAAGGTAGATTAAATCTATACATTCAGTACGATTGGAAATCAACCCTATCACCTTTTCTGGGTCCAAACGCTCAAACAGATACCAAAAGCAAACAACAAACAGTGCTGATACACACTCGCCGTGCGCTCTGTTTTCTCCATGCTGAAATCTTACCTGGCCACACAGTAATTCATATGTTCTGAATCATTAAAATATTGGTGCCTGGGACAGCATGAGACTTTAGTGTACACTGTGAGTTTTTCAAAGCTTGACTAAAAGGTGTGCTATTAATAGTGCTCATAAACGGCTACTGAGATAAAATTCTCACTCGAAGATTCCTGCACTACTTATTCAATGATACTGAACCACTGCTATTGTAATTCTTCACAATTCCTATCCTTCACACTGTGGTTTGATCTGTATCTATGTGTGTTGTGTTCAGGTGTTTGAGGCCATATAGGGTGGTGAGTTACATGCTGGCTGTGGGGTCAGAAGGGCTGAGTTGTCTCTTTCTGCCTCTGCTGAATGGTTTTTCCCTGCTCGTCCCCTTTTCTCTCATCTACGGCTGCTTTGATGGAGCTTACGTGGCACTTATTCCTGTGGTGACCTCTGACACTGTCAGCTCCACCCACCTGACCTCAGCTCTGGGAGTTGTTTACTTTCTTCACGCCATCCCCTACCTCATCAGCCCACCTATTGGAGGTCAGCAGATTTTCCACTGTCTATTTAACTGAATGATATGTAAATTAAATTCAACTTTTTAACTAAATTAGTGTTTTATGAAATGAGTGTTTTCTCTCTCTCTCTTAGGTTGGCTAGTGGATCAGACAGGTTCCTACACCGCTACATTCGTCCTCAGTGGAGTCGCTCTGATCTGCAGTGCTGTGATGTTGGCTGCTGTGAGAGTTATCATCCGTTGCACTAGAGGGAGCTCTTGCTTAAACTAACTCACATCCAGGTACAATGGAGATTTCTAAAGCAGTAGAAAAATACTGCAATGTCAAGAAACATGAAAGTGCCCCTCCAGAGTTAAAAAGGGTTTTCACGTGTTCCTGATCTGAAGCTTATATCAGTCAGAGTGATTGCCACAAATACATGCTCTTTTGTAGCATTAATGAACACAGAACTAACCAAAAGAACACACTGCTCTACTACTGAAATGCAGTATTTATGTTCCAATTAGTTAAAAGCGTGTTTGCTACAAAGGAAATTTGTTTCGTATTTGATACGTATTTGTTATTTTAATGTGTCTCTCTCAGCTGATATCTGATTGGCTAGTCAGAGAAATGATCAGATGTGCTTTGCCCAGTAGTTACATGTACACTGCTTCATTCACAGCTCAGTGTTTTAAAATGTACACTACTGTTCAGAAGTTTAGGGTCTGTAAGATTTTGATTTTTAAAAAAAAAAGTATCTTACGCTCACAAAGGCTGCATTTGTTTTATCAAAATGCAATAAAAAAGCAATATTATTACAAATATTGACACATTATTACACTTGAATTTTTATTTTAATATATTGTAAAATGTAATTTATTCTTGTGATGGAATAATTTGCTGAATAAAAGTTTTAATTTCCTTAAAAAAAAACTAAATCTTACTGACCCCAAACTTTTGTGAAGTGTATACAGCTACATACACCACTGTAAACCCCACTGTCCTAAAAACATTTAAATCAAATGCCATCTTTTTAATGTCATAAATGTTATAGATTGATAACAATTGAGTTATCAATATGATAACTTGAGTACATATTTTATGTTTAATGTTTTCAATACTACGTTTTTAAATATGGCAGAATGCGATTATGCATCAAGCTACAAAGCTTTCTTTGGACTTGGATATTCTGTGTGAGCCATTCAGAGAATGCCTTGGGAAACAAGAAATGTCAGGGAAACAAGAATAATATGAGATGCTATAGTATATATAAATAGTATCAGATAACCTGTATTTCATATAAAGATCATGGACAATATTCTCCCTTCGAAAAGAATTATGGGTATTTGACAAGAAGAGAAACAAATTACATGTAATCTCTTGATTTAAACTTTTAGAAAGTACATCAAATACCTTGTGACTCTGAACAGTACACATTTATTTGTATGTGACCTTGTTTTGTGCTGGAACACTGTTACAATAGATCATTTTCAGTTTGTCACAATGTATCTTCAGTCTCTCCATTGGCAAGCTAAAGTTCTTTGGAAAATGTGAAAAGAAAACATACATTTCTAATGTTTGAAAATCACTTATCTGTGAGAAAATATATTTAATTAGCATATTATTGCAAACAGTAAACAAAGTTTCAAAATCAACAAAGCAGGCAGATCTGATCAAGTAGAAATGAGAAATAAATGAATCAGTGTTTTATAATAAATGTTTATTCTATTTGAAACAGCAGGACATGTAAGCAACACATCTGTATATCCACTTTTCAGAAATGAAGGTCTCAAAGAAAAGCAATTATAAAAGTGTTTTATATTCACATGTGAATAGTAGTTATAATTAAATGCAATAAGCAATGCAAGGGCTAATTTTACTTTGAGACAATCGGGATCATGTCTGACAACCTCCTAAACAGCTCAATGGATTTCCTAGCCAAAGTCTCCTTCTCCTCACTGTCATCCTTCATCAAGAAAACCTTCCATTTGTATAAATTAGCTACGATTCTAAGAACTGTAGTAGAGGTGGGAACATTTTCTCAAACCCTTTCTCCTTCTTGAATACCTCTCTCTGTGGAATCTTTTCTGTAATACTGAAAAATACCTGGCAATCCCTCCATGTTTTTGGTTTCAAAGGTTCTCTCTAATAAAATTTGTATTTCTTCATCATTGTTTTCTGCTTGCACCTCAGACTTTTTCAGTATTTAAAGGAACTGAAGGAACAAATCATTTGGGTCTATCACTATTGCCTTTTACAACTGCGCTAAAATTTCAGCATTCAGCTCTGGAGTGAATTCAGATTTTCTGTAACCCTTGCTCATTGCTTTGGCAAGACCTTTGTACCATTCCTTCCTTTCTGGTTCTGATTTTAAAGCCATCTTAAAATAATAAATCGCCTGACGCTTCTTGGACTTGTTGAACTTCACCAGCGTCCAGCCCTTTTCTCCACTGACTTCAGGGTGTAGAGCACATCCAGGTGGAGCAGGATGCATTCCCTGAAGCCTCTCCACCTCTTCTAGGTATCCTTTGCTCTTATCCATCTCTCCCATAAAGAAGTAGACCCAAGCCAGGTTAGCCTTGTTGACCTGCAGCCAGACTCCAGCTTCTTTTGCTCCCTGCATCACACTTTCTGCTTTATGCAGGTACTTCAGCACCTCTGTGTTGAAGCCGAGAGACTGTTGGATGTAGCCCAGCAGGTTGTAATGGTGAACTAGCCTGGTGCATCCCTGCTCTAAGATGTCTTGTACGTTCCTCTCTAACTCTTGGAGTTTTTATTGCACCCCAGATCCCAGGCGAAGTGGCACTCCAGCTTCTCAAGGGTGCATTTCAGAAGATAACTGAAAGAGAGAGCTTCATTAATGAACAGTAATGCACAAATGCTATTTTGCTTACATCACCCAATAAAGTTCACCTATTCTCATATAATGTCAGTGAACAGATTGGGGTCAAAGAACCTGTTTATTCTTGGTTTACGGTGACTGCAAAAGTGTAGCATTTGTATTTATTTTGTGTTTTTGTTTATTTTGTGTATTTTAAAGTTACTTCAGTGTGAGCCTCTGTCCTTGTAAGTGTAACATGTACCGGTATGTGTCGGCAGCTTCAGCTTGTGAGGAAACTTTGGACTTCATGGAGTTTGAAGTATTGTCTGTTAAAGATGTACGACAGCAGACAATGCCTCACACCCCTCTCAAAAGTCCTGGGCCCAAATGAGTGACAGAAGCATAGGGGAAAAAAGTTACATGATTGATATTCTGTGACAATCGTCCCTCAATCTCCAGAACAACTTTTAAAAAAACGAAGAGAGAAGGACCTCGTCATATCATCATCCAGTTTGGCATGAAAACTGTACACAATGTGGTATGAAGGATCATACATGCACCAGTCTGCATGAAGGGAAAAATCAGCTTCAGAGAGGATTTTTGCAAGTACGACAGAGAGGCTCATGCTCGACATAGAAGCATGACAAAGAAGAACAACATACCTGCAAGAAGGATATGCAGTGATTAATGGTCAGAGAGTAACTGCTTCCTCCATGGTAAATGCAGTGATGTGCCTGGTTTTTGAGCTGTAATTTTTATTTTTGTGAGGAGAGTACTGAAATATAAGGCACATAAACATCTGAATCTAGAATAAGAGGAATAATATCTGAAACTTAGCAGTTCTTTCACTGCAGTTCATTTCAGTTATTTGTCTCTTTCTCTGTTATCTTTAACCAAGTAAAAGTGAATTGTTTCTTTCGCATTCAACTGATGTAGATGTGAGATTTTGGAAGTCACAATGGGGTGGAGACCACTGATTTAGATCAGTGGTGGAGAGAGACACTTTATTTTCTCATGGAACTTCCCATTCAGCAGGGGTCGCATTTTTGTTTAATTGAATACAATTATTGCAAGTTCAGGCAATAGTAAGGGCCACTGGATTATGGTGATTCTTGAATCTAACTTATGTAATTATATATTGATTCATGTTTATTGGTTACACTAACAAGGCTGCTAATAGTTTTTTTTTTCTTTCAGAATATGGCTTTGATGACTGGAAGAACATATATATCTTACAGATAAAATTATTATTGAAGGAGATTTTAATGCCGTTCCAGATGAAAGGAAGGATAGATCCTACTTCTTTCAACACATTTCATCTGTTTTGTTAATGATTAATAATGTCAAAATATAGAATTAACTGCAGAGAACGGGTCATATTGAACATTAAAAGATTGGCAATAAAAGAAGGGAAACTTTTTTTGCAAATACTAGAAAATCAAGGCAGTTGACAATCTTATCAAGATGACAATACCTTGGTAACAAAGATATTTTGAGTGATATAGAGCAGAAAGAATTTCATGTATAATCAAAGTTGAACATATTTTATACAGCAAAGGCAAATGGATTAATAATAATATTAATAATAGTAATAATAATGTTTAGCGCCTTTCTACAAAATCAAGGATGCTTTACAATAATTCCACATTCACATGACAGCAAAATAAAGACGTACATAAGAGAAAAAACACAGATCATGAGACCGGTAAATTAGAATAACACAAAGTGAAAAGATATGTTTTCAGGTGGGCTTTGAAATCCCGTAATGAAGTGAATATGCTGGGGAAGAGAGTTTCAGAGTGTGGGGGCAGCGATACAGAAGGTCATACCGCCAAATGATACTAGTTTATGCCGGGGAACTTGTAACAGGCCAGATTCAGAGGACCTAAGTGCACTGGAAGGGGTGTAGGTGTGTATGAGATCTGATTGAGGGGCGAGACCATGGAGAGCTTTGAATGTAATGAGTATTTTGTATTGAATACGGAAACGAACAGGTAGCCAATGTAGTCTGGATAAAACAGGAGTAATGTGAGAAGATTTCTTGGTATGTGTGAGGACCCTAGCTGCTCTGAATATACTGTAGCTTATTTAAAGTTTAAGAGGGGAAACCTTGTTATTTCTTTAATTTAGAAAAACACAAACAAGCTTTAAAAACTATTAATAAACTTGGCAATAATAACCACATAAGTGAAGACACTGATTGAAAACACTCATTGATGATTATTTATTCCTTCTGATTTATAAATCAAGATTTGATAAGAGAGATGGTGATGTTTTCCTTTCTCAAAATATAAAGTTCCTATTATAGACAGTGATTTTAGAAACATGATGGAAGCTGATACTGATAATTCAGAATTAGATATTGCTATTACTCAAATGTCCAAAGGAAATTCCCCAGGTATCGATGGGATTACAGTAGAAAGTTTTTGGCCCGAAATACGAATCCTAGTTTTTGACTAAAAGAGTAAAGCTAATTTATCACCATCTATGGAAGCACGGTTTAATTATTCTAGTTCCAAAGTCGAGCAAGGACTAATTATTTTAGACAAGCTGGAGACAACTGTTTGCAAATAGACTTAAAAAAGGCGTAGTTTAGCCTATAGTGCAACACAATCGGCTTTTATTAAAAGGAGAAGTATTCATATTAGATTAGTCTTTGATTATAACCTAACTATCTAATTCCTCAGACAAGTTTACTTTTCCACAAAAGCCACACGGATCCACCTCAAAATGAAATATTTTCTGTATAAAACCACTATTAACTGAGTATATTATTATATTTATGGTAGATGTGCTTTACTGTTGGTTGTCATCTGTCTTGTAGTGTATCATTTGTAATCAATCAAGCAGTCAATCAATCAATAAACAAACAACGACTGCGTCCACCTGGCTCCTGTAGTCAACACTGCCATCTAGAGTTTTGGCTGTTTTTTTTTTATGAATGCAAACATCACAAAGATGACATTAAAGATATACAACTTTGTATAGAGTACACAACATTTATCAACAATATGTACAATGTCATCTGAACATACAGAACAAAAAAAAAAAGAAAAAGTACAAATTGGAAGAAAGGACATGAGGGTAAGATATTAATTTATATTTCAATTAGAGTATACAAATTAAAGTCATTACAAATTTAGGTTGTTCTTCACGCTTTCTTGTTTACAGAGGATGAAATAGTATTAAGATAAATTTTAAATTCTTTAAAAAAAACAAGAAAATTGGTTTGTTGTTGGTGAATTTACATTTATGGATATAGAATTTGCCAAGAAAATAAATTAAATTTATAACAAAACAAGCTTTGTTTTTATTAGAATCAGAATCAAAGTGTCCAAAAATAATATATTTAAAAGTAACCAATAAATCTTGTTGGATATTATCTTTAATAAATGTTTCAATATCTTTCCATAGATGTTCAGTATAGAAACATGACCAAAATGTTTCTGTGTGAACTTGGCAAAATGAGCATCTTGTATCAATATTGGTTTTATATTTAATCATAAAATATTTAACAGGCTAAAATGTATTTATTATTTAAAAAAAACACTTCTTTTACTTTATTGGTGAGAAAATATTTTTGTTTTAAAGACCAAATCTTTTTACATTTTAAATTTTTAAATAAATTATTCCAGTAAAAGATTGCAGGAGATATTGAGATAATATCTTCAATAAACAGGGATCTAACTTTATTGTTTGTATCTTTTTTTCCTTAAAAACATATTTCACCTATTGGAGTGTCCATTGGCTCAGGGAAAGCAGTAGTTATAGTAGTAGATTGAGTGTAATTTTTAAAAAGCGTACAGATTCCTGTTGGTATCGCTCCCATAACTATGGCAAATTCTTTGGGAGTAACTGGCATATTGCATTCTTGTTGAGGGAAAATATTCCAGATGGAGTCTTGATTATTCAAATATTGATGAAGCCAATTTATTTTGAAAGTGCCATTTAAAGAACTAAAATCAATCAAATTTAAGCCACCTTTGTTGTAAGAATTTAAAATAACACACTTCTTCATATAATGGCTTTTGTTTTTCCAGACAAAATCTGTTAGAGCTCTATCAACCAATTTACATGTAGGCTTATCTACATAAAGAGATTGGGCCGCATAAGAGAGGCGTGAAAGTCCCTCAGCCTTAGTGAGCAAAACTCTTCCTTTAATACAGGGGCGCCCAAACTCAGTCCTGGAGGGCCGGTGTCCTGCAGAGTTTAGCTCCAACTTGCCTCCACACACCTGCCTTTAAGTTTCTAGTATGCCTAGTAAGAGCTTGATTAGCTGGTTCAGGTGTGTTTAATTGGGGTTGGAGCTAAACTCTTCAGGACACCGGCCCTCCAGGACCGAGTTTGGACACCCCTGCTTTAATAGATAGATGCTTTTGAAGCCAGCAATTAAGTTTTTTCTTTGTTTTTTCAATAATCGGATGTAAATTTGTTGCACATCTATTTTTTTCTTTAGTTATTTCTATACCAAGCTATTTAACAGTGCCTTTAACAGCTATGCCACAGATTGAAGAGACATTACAACTTTTAATGGGAAATAATTCACATTTATCAATATTAAGGTTTAGACCAGAAGCTTTAGAAAATGACTGAAGAATATTTAAGGCTATTGAGATTTGAGAGGAGTCTTCTAAAAACAATGCTGTGTCATCAGCTAATTGACTAATGATTAATTCTGCATTTCCAACAGTGATGTTTTTTAGGTTACTCTTTTTAATATGTAAATTAAGAAATTGCACTGCAATTAATGGTTTTATATTTAATCATAAAATATTTAACAGGCTAAAATGTATTTATTATTTAAAAAAAACACTTCTTTTACTTTATTGGTGAGACAATATTTTTGTTGTAAAGACCAAATCTTTTTCCATTTTCCATTTTTAAATAAATTATTCCAGTAAAAGATTGCAGGAGATATCGAGATAATATCTTCAATAAACAGGGATCTAACTTTATTGTTTGTATCTTTTTTTCCTTAAAAACATATTTCACCTATTGGAGTGTCCATTGGCTCAGGGAAAGCAGTAGTTATAGTAGTAGATTGAGTGTAATTTTTAAAAAGCGTACAGATTCCTGTTGGTATCGCTCCCATAACTATGGCAAATTCTTTGGGAGTAACTGGCATATTGCATTCTTGTTGAGGGAAAATATTCCAGATGGAGTCTTGATTATTCAAATATTGATGAAGCCAATTTATTTTGAAAGTGCCATTTAAAGAACTAAAATCAATCAAATTTAAGCCACCTTTGTTGTAAGAATTTAAAATAACACACTTCTTCATATAATGGCTTTTGTTTTTCCAGACAAAATCTGTTAGAGCTCTATCAACCAATTTACATGTAGGCTTATCTACATAAAGAGATTGGGCCGCATAAGAGAGGCGTGAAAGTCCCTCAGCCTTAGTGAGCAAAACTCTTCCTTTAATACAGGGGCGCCCAAACTCAGTCCTGGAGGGCCGGTGTCCTGCAGAGTTTAGCTCCAACTTGCCTCCACACACCTGCCTTTAAGTTTCTAGTATGCCTAGTAAGAGCTTGATTAGCTGGTTCAGGTGTGTTTAATTGGGGTTGGAGCTAAACTCTTCAGGACACCGGCCCTCCAGGACCGAGTTTGGACACCCCTGCTTTAATAGATAGATGCTTTTGAAGCCAGCAATTAAGTTTTTTCTTTGTTTTTTCAATAATCGGATGTAAATTTGTTGCACATCTATTTTTTTCTTTAGTTATTTCTATACCAAGCTATTTAACAGTGCCTTTAACAGCTATGCCACAGATTGAAGAGACATTACAACTTTTAATGGGAAATAATTCACATTTATCAATATTAAGGTTTAGACCAGAAGCTTTAGAAAATGACTGAAGAATATTTAAGGCTATTGAGATTTGAGAGGAGTCTCCTAAAAACAATGCTGTGTCATCAGCTAATTGACTAATGATTAATTCTGCATTTCCAACAGTGATGTTTTTTAGGTTACTCTTTTTAATATGTAAATTAAGAAATTGCACTGCAATTAAGAACAGATAAGGAGACACTGGGCATCCTTGATGCACACCACGATTTAGAGAAAACCTGGGAGAAGTACCGTTTTTTTAGTTTAATTGAACTATTTCCATTTACAAAGAACATTTTAACCATCTTACAGAAATAATCACCAAAGATACTTGCCAAAACTTAATGGCACGGACACACAAACGGAACATCATCGACATTGGATATTTCTAAAGGTTTAAAACGAGCTACTTTTCAGAGTCGTAGCTAAGCTATAACACCTAGTGTAGCCTACAATTGGTTAAATTCCTCAAATTATAGGTGGAACAAAATCAAATGAATAAATATTTTATTTGAAGTTATTTTGAATAAATTTAAGCTCAAAAGAGATTTTTTTACAAAAGGAAAATGTAAAAACAGAATAAGAAAAAAAATAAAAAACAGCAGAAGAAACGAGCTGTTCTTTTTATCTCCTGTCACAGTTCTTTACTAGGCCCATATCTGGCTTTGAAAATACACACTGCTGAAATTATTATTAGCAAAACATTTTCTGTATTACACCCTGATCCCCCTCCCAGTAGCTTCTGTTCTGCATATGTTTTCGTTTTTACTGAAAGACAGTCATTTACTCTCTGTGACAGTGGAGCCTTCACAAGCAACCTCTGAATGTTACTATTATTGTTATGTATTTATTGTTAGTTTGTATTTATGTGTGTGTGTGTGTGTGTGTATGTTAATGTATCAAGCCTTTTTGAACCATGTAGCACACATTATGGCGCTGTCACACTTGTCCTGACATTTTTTTCCCCTGCACCTTATTTGCATCGACCAGCAGCCTGCGTTCTAAGCCTCGAGAAATGCTGGGAAATTAACCACTTTTCCGAGGACATGGCAACTCCAACTCCTAATGATAGTGGTAAAAGTCTAGAGACTTGTTCCTCAAACATAATGCATAATGGTGTTCTGGTAGAAAGTTCTCACGTGGTTTACCACAAATGCAAGCTGCTTTGTAGCATAATGCACATGAATCAATGTTTTGTAGTACCAGGTTTTACTAAATCAAACCAAACTCTTATTTTCACGACTATAAAGCACCATGGATAATCATCAGATATATTCCATAAATTTAGTCTACAAGTAACATTTGGATCTTTTGATGTTGATGCTGTTATGTGGGTGTGACCCGACTGTGTTTCTAATTGGCTGTTCTGACATTTGAGGAGATGAGTTACAGAATTATTTAGAAAAAAAAGATGTTGTGTTTTTGTTTACATAAAAATATAGAATATCTAGCAGCCATTGAACAGATAATCAACATTTTTAATAGACTACAAGATTTTAACACAATCCCACATACAGTCTAAAAATCTGTCATGCAGTTTTGAATATTTGAATGGTAAACAACTTACTCCATAATAATGGTCAGTGGTGGTCCGGTTTGAGAGATGTTTCTTCTAGCAGTGTTGATTTGTTCTTTATGTGAGTCACTGAGAGATCATGCTGTATTTATAATGATCAAGCTCATAAAACCACCTGCTTATCTACCGGAAGAAGTCATTAAACACGTCAGCTCAGGATTCTTCTCTTGGAAATTTCTATTCTGGCTTAGGTTTCGTTTCTTCAATAAAGCGCAGTTTACCTAATGACAGTGATAAAGTTTAAAGCCTGCCTTCATCAAGCATGAACTCCTAAGATGCCGGTTTTACAGCACAACATGTCCATGCTGTACTTTGTACTCTGTGTTCCAAAGTGATATTGATAATATTATGTGGACAAGACCGACTGTCTTGCCGTTCAAAAGGTTGAAGTGATTTGCATATTTACCATATTATTAAAAAAAAAATGGTAATACTTTGGTAACAATGAGCAATACATATGATACAGTATTTATTAATCTTTGTTAACGTTAGTTTACAATAAAAATACAATTTAAAATTACAATTTAAAAATACAATTTAGTCAATTTTTTGTTTGTTAGCCCAGTTCCATTAAATATAAACATAAAATGTTTGATTTTAATAATGTATTAAGAAATGTTGATATTGACATTAACTAAGATAGATGAATGTCTTAGTGTTGTGTGCGTAATGGT